CATCAGATGGTCTCCTGTTCCTTGCTTAGTGCTCTCTGTAAAAGATGAGCCTCAAAGTAAAGAGGCTATGACTCCCCAGGGCACAAAAGTTTTGTATCAGAAACTGAAGCAACAGCCTCCTAAAACAATTCAGTTGCTACCTTAATTGAATTATGCAAATTGATCCTTCTGCATATCCTCATCTCCGCATTTTGTAGAGATGCTTTACTCCCCATCTAGCTAGCCAGCTCAGGTTACTCTGGTAGTTCCCGCCATCCTTACTGTCACTCATCCCTGAGCCACCCCCTTCTTCAAAAGATAATAATTCTGGGAGAGGCCTAGGATCAGGGCCTTTGTCCACACATCCTCACGGGCATTGGACTTAGGCTGCCCATTGAACCTTGGCTGCCCTTCACTTGGAATGTTTCTCAGTGCCTTCACTCTCACCATGGGTTGCACTGGAGGTGGTAGATTGGAATTAACTCCCTGGGATTCCAATAACATCTCGATGGGACTACAAATATAATCTTTTGAATTGTGAGAAAAACTAGAAAAGGATTTTTTTTTTGGTCTTTTTTGAGAGGCAGGTCTTGCTATGCTGTTCAGGCTGGTCTTGAGCTCACTTTGTAGCCAGGCTCCTCTCGAATTCACAAGGATCCTCCCACCTCAACCTCCCAGAGTGCTGGGATTACAGGTGTGAGCCACCACGCCCAGCTAGAAAAGGATCTTGGTATTTGGATGACTGTAAACAATGTTTGGGATTACAATAATCCCCTTCTCAGAGCCTCACAGTGCCACGTAGGTGGAACCATCAGCAACATGAAAATCACGGAAAAGAGCCCAGGGCAGCAGGATGCTTTCTGCAGATGCCCCGCTACTGTGGGCTCTCAGTAATGAAGCTCCACACTGACACCTCCGTGTCCAGGATGCTGGAGTGGGGGTGTGGTCACTCGCTTTGGGGTCCTGTCCTTCTGGGTCACCGTGACCTAGACAGGCTCTAAAGTCTCAACCAGACCCAACTTTCTGTGGTTCCGATGGCTTTGGCATCAAAGTGACCTGAAGTCCAAGAAGCAATTACAGGCTCTAGAACAGCATTGTCCTAAAGAAACAGGTGAGTTGCATTAGTCATGGAAAGTTTTTAACAACCATGTTCTATGTCAAAGCTAAATATGTAAAATTCATGTTGCTAGCATTTAGCCCGAAATACCCAAAATATAAGCAATTCAGTGGGCAATTAATGTAAAGATAACTGAGATATTTTACATTCCTATGTGGACTTTATAAAATCCAATGCGTTCCCTGAACCTCAAGTACCACTCAGTGCAGATCCATGCTGGGCACTTAGATACGGAGCCTCTGTAGCCCAGGGCCTGTAGTGGTCCCGGGACAGGGCCGTGGGTCTCTGGGCCCCCACTGTGGACAGTGATAAAGCATGTGGCCTGCCTGCAGAGCCCATCGCCGCAGAGCCACTAGCCCTGAGCATGCTGCTGTGACCACGTGTCTGAGATGTAGCACCTTGCATGGAACAGGCTCTTAGGTCTCCTGGTCCCAGAGGCTGGGAAGACTGGAAGGAAGGTGCAGGCCACCCTCCCTATGTCTCCACCCAGACAGGGCCTTGCTCTGCTTCTTCACGTGGCAGCAGGGGCAGGGACTGGCGGGGCAGAGGCTGGTCCTCACCCTGCCTCGTAGCACTGCCTCAGGCATTCCCCGTCCCCATCCACCCTTCGTTCCCTGGCCTGGAGCTTGCTGTGGCTGGCTGCAGTGACCTCACCCTGACCTCGATGACCTCACCCTGACTCCGGGGACCACACCCCTCGTCCAGTGACCTCATCCCTGCCACTGCACTTTTCTGACCACAGCTCGTCCTCCACGTCTTGCTGACTTAATATCTTCTTTATCCTGGGATTTAAGATTGCTAAATTTCCTCTAAACCGTTCTCTGCTGTAATTCTAGAATCTTCTGAAGTCTATCTTGACCTCAAGGATTAGTTTGAAGACATCATCCCAAATGCTTCACCATTTGAGTGTGCATAGGGAAGTAATTTAAGCAATATGCTTGGTTGGCATTACCCTTTTATCTCTTATGCCTGGGCCTACGTTATTGCCATTTCGTGACAGGGAAGCACAGTCCTTGGCTTGTGATATTTGTAAAGCTAACGCTGTAATCCAGTGTGGTTGTCACAGCCTCCAGACATGGTGAGGATGTCTCACTGTTCTCTGGGATAAACATGAATGTGGAGATGCTGGTTACTGGTACACAGATCAGGGTCCTTGTCACTGCCTGAACACACTGCAAACTGAAACCTGCAAGCAGTATTTCAGGCATTTTCACTGCCTAGCCAGACTCGGAGACAGAAGCAAAATCACCTCTTCTGGTACAGAAGAAGCTGAGCGTAGCACCTGGAAAGAAATTCCCTGTGTAATCTGATTTTCCTACCACTCCATAATTTGAACATAAATATACACAGAGATGTCTAATTTAGGAAATAATCACATCTTTGTATGCATCTATGGTCTGGCAATTATTCCACATTTCATGTTTTAAAACTGATGAGGAATTTTGCCATCTTTCTCAATTTTTCAGCCTGGATGATTGAGATTCTTAGTTAACTGAAGTATTATAATTCAGGACTTGAAACTACTATAAAATGATTGTCTCATTAAATGGGCTATGTTTCTTCTTGAAGTTACATTCCCCTCAGACAGCCTTTGGGACAGAAGCCCAGTCTGCAGATGCACACAGCCCTCTTTTGAGGGCAGAGCTACAATGGCAACAGAGGATCAGGCGCATAGATCACAGGGCCTCAGCTGCGGCCCATGTCCCAAGGCAGGTACAGGATCCCTTTCTGAAGGCCTTCTATCCACAGGGAATCTTTGCTTTCGCCATCGCTTGCACAGGTGTTCTTTCCTTTTTCTTCCAAGTGGGCTCTTACCCCTTATAGGTAACCAAGTGAACACATGACTGAACAGAATCAGAACCAGGACTTAGAATTCTCCGGTCTTGGGAGAGTGAAGATTCTCCCCATAATCATGCTTAGGAAAGGGCCGGAAACCTTTCAGCTTCAAAATCATCCACACTTAGCCCTCTGGGAAGTCCTTTTCTGCTTTCTGTGGAAATTACCCAGGACCCACCTCAAAAGGGGAAGGACAAAGCTGTACCAGGACGGTGCCTCAGTCATCACTAAGGGGCAAGTGTAAGTGTGGGGCAGAGCATGTGATCCCAATCCTAGCTTTGTGTGATGTGCGCTGAAACACAGGCGTGTGTGTGGCCTGCGTGTGTGTTTGCCCGGATGCCAAGTTCTTCAGGATTTCTCTTAACATCTGTGTGCAGTGAGAGCTGCTGGTCAGCTGTGTCTGGTGCCTTCTGACTTCAGATCACTTGACATGTTTTTTAGGCCTGGGTCTAAAGTAAGCCCTCGAACACCTGCCACCAGGTAATGGAGAAAAGCACAGGCAAACACTCTGCAGCGAGTTATTTCACTAATTATCAGAACATACTATTTGATTGTTTGGCTTTTTGTCCCCTCCAGCAGAGCTAGAGCGCTGGTGGAGCAGGTGTGGGGCAGGACCCCCTCTGGGTCTATAAGAATCTTTGAGGTGTAGGCTCCTCTTGTATTTGCCACTCCTCTGGCTCCTAGTCCTGGGCAGCCTCCCTGCAGCTTCCTGAGGTTTCCTGAGATGGCCAGGGCCACCACCTGCTCTTCCCTTGGCTATGACCCCTCTGCTGGCCACATCCAGGAACCGTGCTAAAGATGTGTCACTTGCCCCAGGCGCCTCTGCATGGTTCAGGTGGCTCAAGACCCTAGGTTCTGCCTCCTTTCCTATCGGGGAGCCAATCTGGTCTACAGGATCCAGGCGGGTCCTCCTGGGCTCGGGCTGCGGGAGTGGGGAAGGGTGGCTCGGTGAGGGAGCGCAGCGCTGGGGCTTGGACAGGACGCCTGCCCGCGGCCTCCTCGCCTCCTCCTCCGAGCCATCCTCAGTTCTGCTCCAGTCCTGTCCAGGTACCGGCTGGAGAAGGCAGGACATGACGGGAGAGGGGCAGCGGCGGAGCAGAAGAGCAGCGGGCTGCAATTCGCCACAGCGGCCGGGCAGCCAGAGGGGGAGCGACATCTGTTGGCCCACTGTCCCCTGGGGACGGAGAGGGTCCCGGTCCACCTTAGACCAGCCCCACGGTTCTCATCTTCTGCATGGGTCCGAAGGAAAGACCGACGCGCAGCCGTCCGGGGAGCTCGGGGCGTCCGCTGATGCCGGGCATCCTTGGTGCGGGTGTGTGTGTGTGTGTGTGTGTGTGTGTGTGTGCGCGCGCGAGCAGGGTCTGTGGGTACAGGATCTCCGCGGGTCCCGAGTGCCCGCGGGTGCAGGGTCTCGGAGGCCCAGAGAGCAGAGAGAACTAGCTTCATCTCAAGCGAGAGCAGTCCCGATCCCGGGTCAGGAAGGGTTAACGGCGGCCGGACTGGCTTCGCGGTAAATAGAGAGCAGCTGCCCGCTGGCCCGCCGGACCGTTCAAAGGTTTGATTGGCTGCCAATGACATCACCGCCCGAGTCTCAGCAGCTAGGCCTCCGTGCTGGGCGCTAGCTCCGCCTAAAGCCGAGATGCCCCGCCTCAAGACACGCCCCCGGCCGCCCATTGGCTGCAGGTCTCGGTGAGGTGGCGGTCCGCCTCCCCCAGGTTCTAATTGGCCGAACGCGCCGTCGGTCGGAGGCCGGCCTCCCCCTCGCAATCTTACATTTGCCGTGTAGCAAAAGAGAAAGTAACTATGTTGCTGCTGGAGATCAATGAAGCCGAGTGAATGGGCGGCCCGCGCGCGTCCCCCGCGGAGGCGCAGCTCCCGGCAGTGCAGGGCTGCGCTGATCTAGGAAGTAAGTGGAAGTCCCGCGGCCACTCCGGGGCGGTGTGTGCGTGTTTGTGTGTGCGTGTGTGTGAGTGTGCGCGCGTGTGTGTGCGTGTCGGTGCGCACGCGAGGAGGAGAGCGGGAGCGGAGCGGCCGCAGGACCGCGGGGTGCTGCCCGGGCCCTGCGCGCCCACGCTGCGGTCCCCCGGCCGGGGCGGGAGGGCGCCGCGCTTGTTGGGATGCTTTGCGGCAGTTTCGCCGCCGCTGTGCGAGCGCGCTGCGTGGCGCGGACCGGGCGGTGGGTGCCGCGAGCCGGGAGGGCGTTCTCCATGCTCCGGATCTCTTCCCGGCCCTGCCTCCAGAGCCCGGTCCTCGGACCCGGGCCGCCAGGCCGACCGGTGGCTCTGGGCGCCGCGCACACCGCTCGTCTGCTGCAGGAACGCAGCCCATCGCGCTGCTGGCACAGGCAGGGGTCCTGGGCGTCCCGGGAGCAGGGCCGGAGGGGCTGACGAGCTGGTCCTGACGCCCCCACCAGGTACCATCAGGCTTCTGCCGCCCGCCCGTCCAGCTGGGAGCCGGTCGCAGCTGTTGCACTAGTACACGTTCTCCAAAAAATACTACGCAAGGGGTGGAGGGAGGCGGCAGGCTGGGTCTTCGCTCCAATCCCGAAGTGCTGGAGAAACCCGAGTCTGGCTACGTGTGCGCCCGGCTTGTGTGCGTGGATTCCGCCTGTGACACTTTGGCTGCGTGTCAGAGAGTGATGACGGTCGTGTGTAGACGAATGATAAATGACATTTTTCCAGACAGCTCTTGAAGTTCGCTTAGATGAGTCGCTGTTCCTTGAGGTTTGGTTTCGTGGCTGTGTCCACGGCTGATAGAAGCAGGCAGGGCCGTAGGAGCGTCCAGTGGCCGAAGGGAGCAGGGGGCTGGGACTGTGCCTTCCCTTCACAGGCTGCCTGGAGGAGACCAAGTGAACCTGGGCAGCAGTGTCTTTTAAGGACACCAGCTCCAGCTGAGGGGGCATGGCAGTGTCTGCTTAGTTGCCTTGGAGAAGTGGCTGGGCTGGGAAGCAACCTGCCCTGGGGACCAGAGGGCAGGGAAGGCCAAGTGGTTGGTTGGGTCCTTAGAAGCCAGGTGAGTTTGGGCATGGGCTGGGGATCAGCAGGCGGTGGATCTGCCAGGGCTGAGTTTCCAGACCTGGCTCCTCAGCCAACTTGAGACTTCATTTTACGGTACCAGGCGGAAATGCAAAGGGAAAATGCCATGACGGTTAGCCTCCAGGAGGGCATCAGCAAGCGCATAAAGTCCCAGTGTGACTGCTGCAGTTCTCAGAGGACCGCATAGGACGGGAGAGAGAGCCGCTCCTCCTGAGGCCAGCTCTGGCAGAGACTTTCCCTCTTGTCTGTAGAAAGTCGACATCTGCCCCGAGGTATATTTAGCTGCTGTGTATTTCTGTGAGCCAGGCCAGTGCTCTTGCAGTGCTCTTGGTCATCTCTGAATTGCAGTGGGTGAAGGAATTACATGGCAAGCGTCCGAGAGGGTACGCGAGCCGGGATTCCTCTGTGAAGAGTCCTTCTGCCCGGGAGATGTGGCCCAGAATAGACCCTCTGAACAGCTCTCTTCTGTCTGAAGCTTTTCTGATTCTGGTGGTCTCACCTCCCTGAGGCTGAACTTTGATGCCATTCAGGAAAGGTTGTTCATTCACATTTGTAACATGAAGTCCAATGTCAGGGTGGACTTAGTGGCCAGGTAGACAGGGCTTCCGGTCTGAATCCTGTTGAATCCATGGGAGCAGGTGTCAGACTTTGGAAGCTGCCACAAAGGGCACTTTGCTCTTCATTTGGAGATAGGCAAAAGCTCCTCCCCGGGCCTGGGTGGGACTGGGTGGGACTGCCTTTGGGTCAGATGGTGATTTTGTTCTTTCTTTCCCTCTTCCCCTTCTTTGCAGACTCTTGAGTTCTTCTTGAATTGCCAATTTTCAGCCTCCTCATGCCTCCGTCTCCTTTAGATGACAGGGTAGTAGTGGCACTGTCTAGGCCCATCCGACCTCAGGATCTCGGCCTTTGTTTAGACTCTAGCTCCCTTGGCTCTGCCACCCCCGGCAGGAGCAGCCACCTGTCTGTCATCGCCACTACCACCACCGTGTCCCTCAAGGCTGCGAATCTGACGTATATGCCCTCACCTAGCGGCTCTGCCCGCTCCCTGAATTGTGGGTGCAGCAGTGCAAGCTGCTGCTCTGTGGCAGCCTACGACAAGGACAGTCAGGCCCAGACCCAAGCCATCGCTGCAGGTACTGCCACCACCGCTGTAGGAACCTCTACCACCTGCCCTGCCAACCAGATGGTCAACAACAATGAGCACACAGGCTCTCTAAGTCTGTCCGGCGGGGTGGGCAGCCCTGTGACAGGGGCCCCCAAGCAGCTGGCCAGCATCAAAATCATCTACCCCAATGACCTGGCCAAGAAGATGACCAAGGGCAGCAAGAGTCACCTGCCCAGCCAGAGCCCCGTCATCATCGACTGCAGGCCCTTCATGGAGTACAACAAGAGTCACATCCAAGGAGCTGTCCACATCAACTGTGCCGACAAGATCAGCCGGCGGAGGCTGCAGCAGGGCAAGATCACAGTCCTGGACTTGATTTCCTGTCGGGAAGGCAAGGACTCTTTCAAGAGGATCTTTTCCAAAGAGATTATAGTTTACGATGAGAACACCAATGAGCCGAGCCGGGTGATGCCCTCGCAGCCTCTCCACATAGTGCTTGAGTCCCTGAAGAGAGAAGGCAAAGACCCCCTGGTGTTGAAAGGTAACGTCGCCGCTCCTTCCTATGACCCCTTCTCCTTGCCCTGCACACCCTGAGACCAAGCTAGCATTTCTCCCTACCTTCTCCTCCTTGTCCGTTCTTTAGTGTTTTGCTATCATAAGAAAAATGCCTTGGGCTGGAGGCTGGAAGATCAGAGTCCTAGCCTGGACCTGGTTGCTGATGCATGCCACAGGCAGGCCAGGCCAGGCTACCTGTCTAAAAGAGGGGCCCTGTCAGATGTGCACCTGGCCCCAGAGCCAGGTGAGCGTGCCTGCCTCCCAGACCCAGCAGCATGGACGGAACAGAGGGGGCAACAGGGCCGACCTGCGTGGCGCCTGGAGGTGGCTATTCTTTTGGTGGGGAATTCTTCCTCTTTTCCACCTCTCTGGCCGCCTTGGCTTTTGGATGGTTGTTGCCGTGACCTTGAAGAAGGGCGGAGATCTGTATGAAGGCCCCAGTGGAGGGGAGAAGTTCACCCGTGCATCTGTCACTCTGCCACGTCTCCCAGGAGACAGGCATTTTAGTGACCTACTCCTCAGCCCATGGTAGTCTTTGGCTTCTTCAGGAGGGCTGGTGGGTGGCTTTCCTGTCCACAGGTCATGGCATGACTGAAGTCATAGGAGCCAAGGCCGAGAGGATGCGTCCAGGACCTTCCTCTGGGCCCGTTGCAGCAGAGCTCTCTGGCCTGGCACAGGTCTCGTGCCTGGCCTGGCACAAGTCTCGTGCCTGGCCCAGCGTGCCTGCCTGTCCTCCACACTGTCCCATCCTTCTCTCCTCTATGGCATCTTCTACCTGGCAGTGGTAGCAGAGATAGTCTTGTTCTTTCTTCTGTCCTCCTCCTGGGTTTTGACCAAAGTCCTGGTGGCTCCTGGGGTCCAGCTCAGCTGCTCCCAGCTGTGTGGAGCCAAGGGTTGCCAGGTGCCCCACCACTGTGCATGTTTAAATGGCCATGTCCGCTTGGGAGCTGGGCAGCTGGCCTTTGTCGTTGGGGAGCCACTCTGCTGTTGCCTCCTCTCGTTCAGTGCCCTTGGTCCTTTTGCTGTCCCTGCCCTCCCTACTCCTGCTCCTCTCCTCAGACTCACTGTCCTTGGGCTCAGCAGTCACAGAGACACATCTTTCTCAGGGGAGTGGTCTTGGGCGGAGGAGAACGTCTCATAACTGTGTGCGCGGGACCAGAAGCTCAGGCGCCCTTTGGTGGTGGCAGAAGGTTTCCTGTGGTCTCTCACAGGTTTGGGATCTTCCATGAACTCTGTATTCTATTTCTGTTTGTGCCTGTGGTTTCCCTTCCAGTATCTCCCAGCAGGCTTCCCTGCTGCTGTCCTCCTGTGGCAATCTTGGCGGGGCTTGTCTTCTCAGATGGGAAATTCTGTCTACAGGGTTCCATTTGTGATGCTTTGTCTTGAGGAACAATGACAAATGGTCTTGCTGGTCTCATTTATCCCGCAGAGCTGATATTTTGATGAAAAGTAGGCTTCTTGTGTCTCTGGGCTGAAGGGCATCAAGCAGCGTGAATTTGGATGGCCCTGACCATGGGCATGGGTGAGGAGGAAGAGGCAGATCCTGCTCCTCTGATATGCTGTGGGCCTGCCTGCCGGGTGGTGAGAGGGGAGCATCTTGGGACCACTGTGAAGGTGGGGTGTTCTCACTCTGCCTTGGGTGCAGCCCATGGCAGGCAGCCGGCAGCCCCTGGAGCCGGGTAAGATTGCCTTGTGGGGCGGGGCAGACTGCACTGACCTCACCAGCGCCGCCACGGACAGGGCTGGGCATTTTCGGGTTGGTGAGACTCGGAGACGGTGGCTTTGGAAGACGCTCTGGTGGCAGAGGTTGGCTTCTTTGTAGTTTGGGGGCCTTTCCTTCACCTATGGGGGGCCTGAGGAATGGGTAGCTCAGGTGTAGAGGGTCTGCGTTCTCTCCGTTGTTATCATTCTCCTCTGGCAGCTGTTGGGAGAGTGGCCGAGTGAAGGCGAGGTGGGAGGTTATGAGGGTGCCTCGATCTGCTCTTTCTTGGGGTGACCCTGTGATGGATCAGTCCCATAGCACCACTGAGGCATGGGAAGGGGGCATCTCTCAAGGTCCCAGTCCGCAACTTCTCCTGGTGCTGGTCCTAGCCCAGCTTCCCCTGCGAGGTTTATTTTAGGAGCCCTGCCTTCAGGGGTCTGAGATTGTATTTCGGCAGGGCTGGTACTGGTACCATTTTGGGCTGAGTGGCTTGCAGGGCAGGTGCAGTGGCGAGGGTGGTGAGGCTAGAAGGGAGACACAGGGAAGGCCTAGTGTGTTTATTCTGGGGATTTCAGTGCGGTCTTGGGTAATTTATACCCGTCCCAGCCGACTCCCTGGTCGTGTTTGTAAACACTGGTTGCTACCCTCGCTGCCCAAGTGCTCTGGCCCCGGGTTTGTGCCAGGCTGTCTGTTTTGGTGCTGCCTGTCAAGTGGTGCAGCTGCTGGTGGCTGTTTTAGTGATGCCATGTCAGTCTGGGGGAGCTGAGGAGCCCCCAGAAATCCCTGGGGCTCCCTCCCACTGTGCATCTCAGCACCCTGCCCATGTCACCCAGGCCTGAATCTCCTGCTCGGTCCCATCTTCTGAGGAGTAAGTGGGGTCGAGCCTGAGTGACTGCTCACTGAACAAACACGATGCAGAGATCTGAGGCCTCTCGAGGTTGCGAAGGGTTTCAGGCTGCTTCATCTCAGGCTGACTTCGAATCAAGCATCACTGGGCACTGAAGGAGTCCGCCAGGCTGACCTGGACCCTTGTAACCAGCTCGCTGTGATCCCGGATGCCCCTTCCCTCCAGACAGAACTAGGCTCGGGAGAAGGATTGATTTGTCCTTTTCCTGTCGGGAGAGGAGCATCTGATGAGAATATACGCCTTTAAGATTTTTAGCATAAATAATGCTGTTTAGAGAAGTTGGAGAGTGTAGGATGAATGCACCTCCTCCTGAACCAGCAGTGATCTTTCCCTGTTTGCGTCCTCTTTTATTTTTCTTGAAATGGTTTATAGTGTAGACACCATTTAGATGGCTTTAGCATGTTTGCTAAGACTTCGAATTTTAAACTTAGTCATGCTGGGGATATTTTTGTAGCATAGTCTGGACATGTTCACTGCCAGCTACCTCAGTGCCGTGCTCCTATCTGAGTGATTTTCAAAGATGGGGCCCCAAGCGTCAGAGGGCACAGAGGGCTCCAGCACCAAGGGCTGTCCTGGGACCACAGTGTCCGTCACTGGCTTCCCCTGACCCTGTGCTGCCACAGTGCACAAACTGAGAGCCACGACCTTGGATGGGCCTCCCGGAGCAGAGGCGTTTGGGGGATGAGGGTGTGGAAGGGGCTCAGGGCACTGAACCCCAGGGAGGAGCCCCAGCGGGGTTACCGTCACATTCCTGGACTTCCCCATGCAGCCTCTGAGCGAGTCACACATAAACTTAGACAATCGTCAGCAGCGGCACAGGAGGTGACAGTGTGAACAGCCGTGCACAGGACTCAGACCCGTGAGATAGTTTTATTTATTTACTTACTTTTTGCTGTCTCTGACTTGTTTGGAAGGAAGAGTGAAGAAGAATCACCCAAACACCCCCACACACATACACTCAGGGATGTCAAGAGGATTTTTAATTGAAAAAATTAATTTTTAATGGAGATCTGATGTGAAGTCAGATCCATATCTAGGCTCACAAACTTAACTGTTGATATTCTCAGCCTCTGGCTCAAGCCCGAGGCTGGGTGCCAGATATCAGCTTTGTACCAGAAAGGGGAGAGGTGGAGGGCAAACTTCGGATTCACTGCCCCTGCTCTCGGTGCTAGTGCCCCCTGCATGGCCCTAGGCAAGGTGCTGAAGCCCTGTTATGCTTGATTTCCTCACTTACAAAAGATGATACGGTGGTAACTATTTCCCAGCGTTGGTGCGGGAGCTAAATGTATTAATGTGTGTGAGCATGTGGAGTAGCATCTTGCACTGACAAGCACTTCGTAAGTTCAGCTCAGTGCTCTTATTACTATTGGCCGAACAGAAATATGGTGCCAGTGAAAAGGTGGTTTTGCCTCTTCTTCCAGAGGAGCGCAGATAGCTAGGTTTAACAGTGTGTATGTGGGGTGTGCGTGTGTGTTGCTATGGCCTAAAAATAACTTGGTGACTGTTACCTAATTTAAGTAGCATACAGTTAGAGGGCCAAGTGACTGCAAAAACATGTTGAATCAAGAGGCTAAAGTAATTTGGGCCTATCTTAGGATTATTTATTTGCCGAGGAATTTGTAAAAACGTGATGATAAATCTGTCCTGTCCTGAGTAATCAAAGTGTAATGCTTCTGAGCTTTGCTTTTCCTGGCTCTCATCAGGCGAACTTATTTTTAGAAGGAGGGTTGTCGTCTGGCTATAAAAGTGTAAATGGGGCGGGTTCCTGGACTTGGGACCCTTTCCGTCAGCCCACTGTGGCCCTCAAGGGGTGTGTGGTTGCTTGAGGTCCCTGTTGCTCAGCTGAGTGGAGCTTAGCTCCCTCACGCCAGGCTGCAGGTCTGTATTTTTCCAGGGACCCAGTGTGTGTCCGACGGCAGCTCAGGTGACCACCAAGGGATGGGTCTGGTTCCAGCATCGCAGGAGTGTGGTAGTGGACGTGTACCAAGGGCAGCAGCACCTGGGACTCAGCTGCGCACTGGCCAGGACCCTGAGACCCTTCCCTGAGAGGCGGGAGTCCTGTTGCCCCGGCCCAGGGCTATGGGAGGGGTCCCATCTGAACACCCTCTGCCCTCCTGGTTCCGTTCTGGGAAGCCAGCCGAGTCACTCATCAGACTCATCAAGGACAGGCTCAGGAAGCTTTCCTGGGCACTGGCAGCTGATGGTGCCATGTTGGAGAAAGCAGGATGGGCAGGAGCTTAACAGGCAAAGCCGCTTGTCTATTTCTGTTTTCAAATGAGTTCGCTGGAGGAGGCGCCAGGAGTGGTGGATACACACTTCTCTCCTTTGCAGCAGACACGGCCATCTGCAGATCTGACCAAAGCACAGCAGAAATCCC